AAGGAAATTCACAATAAGGAGAACAAAACACGCTGCATAAAGGAATCAATTTTAAACTGATCCAAAACCAACATGCATAACTCGGATCAATGCAAACTGCGTCAGTGAGGCTCCATTGGAGAATCAACGGAAGGAAATTTGTGTATCGCGAATGAAAACTGAGGACAAAATCCATATGTATTACGAGAATTACATGATTAAATAACAAGAACATGAGAATATGGATACATGGATAATGGAACATTAAAATAGAATTATCAATTACACAATTCAGTGTATTTAGCCTTATAAGTCTAATGAGATCTAGGTTCCAGTTTACAAGCAAGTTCACATGAACCATTAAAAAGGTTAAAAACTATTTTGAAATATGTCCACAGAGATCTAACCTATGTTGATATGTCTCTAATCTCCAGGTGAACACAGTAACAAACAGCATTTTAAAATGGGACAAAGACAATTATGAAATTGTATTAAAGTCTTAATCCAGCTAATGATAAAAAATAGACATGCATGGTTGGTAATCCTGAAGTACCCTCCCAACCCATAATGTCATTCCACTGATGAATATCATTGATTGCCTCGCTCTCCCAAAGCCTTAGTCCCTGAGATTGTGCTTTCATTAGACAGAGTGATTATCAGTTTGACAGAACAGGAATGAGCTTTGATATCTAAAGAGGATCAGCTGTCTTATTTAGCAGAAGTTCCATATCCCTCATCCCTTTAAAACATGTGACCATACACCTTTAAAACATCTTTTTTAGTGTCCTTCCCATCTCCATAGGCTTGCCTTTGTGCAGGAAAAATAAACTGAGTCCTTCCTTATCTGCCTACACTTTATTTGAGGTCTTGGTCGTACATTTGTCCCTCAGGGCCCTACGTGGAGCTGTGTGCTTGCAAAAATCACTAGAAGATGTGGAGGTGGAGAAAGAAACCACCATTTAGTGCCTGAGACTGAGTCAGCAAGCGATTGTTCCGAATCTCTAAAGGTCAACTAGCTAGAGGAGATCTGGAGGTGGACAGAACATGCACCACTCAGATGGAGCTGGGAGAGGAATCGCAAAAGAAAAGGATTTTCTGAGCCAACTATTGGGCAACACAGAAGCAGCAAGTGGACTAAGGACTGGGAACACGGCTCACTTAAACCCACTCTGATACAGAATTATATAGATACAGAGTTTGCATGATAAATGGAACCTGTCAGTTACTGCTCCACAGCATAGATGGGCTTGTGTGAGGGGAAACAGAACATGTGACATCATCTCCGTCCATCAGGAACCCCACCCATCCGACCTGCTTCCAAAAGTCATGCTATCATTTGCCATCCTCTCCACCTCACCAGCGGGAGATCTCCAAATATCTGCACTTTCATGCAAACAGCAATATTTCGTTCAGCTTTTGGCTGCATAAGGCGGGAAAAAATGAAATCTTTTGCCTGCTTCCTCTGTTCGGGATTCCCGCTGCTTCTTGGCATTTGAGATATTATATCCACTAGGGGGCAGGTGTCCAGATTTCAATTACTCTTGATGGGTGGGGGCCCGGAGGGGGATCCAACGCAGCACAGGCTTGAGCATCTAGTTGCAAACTAATTTGTGTTGAAATAGTTATATTTCCTTTGCTTCTGACTGAAATTATAATTGGATAAGTGGTTGAGAATAGTATCAGTCCTGGCACTGGATACGCTGCTGCTATGAACTCTGAGGCCACGTGGACCAGCCCAGTGGTGACAGTGATCTGCTATGAACTCTGAGGCCACTTGGACCAGCCCAGTGGTGACAGTGATCTGCTATGAACTCTGAGGCCACTTGGACCAGCCCAGTGGTGACAGTGATCTGCTATG